AGTTCTAATGATACATAACTAATATTTTAAAAAATAGAATTCTATAATAAAAACAAGAAACAAAAATTTATTAACCTCACAAACTTTTTACTCAAAAACCATATTGATATATCTTAGTTTTTTATCTTCAATAAAGTTTGGTCTACTCTAAAGACAGTATTACTTCTCTGTATTATCTTATCATTTTATTTTATAAATACAAACAATTATTAACTCGAAATTTTCATGAATAATAAATTGTAATTATTTATAACAAAACATCTCTTTTATTTCTCTATGGATTTATAAAAACCGTTGTATCTAACAATTTGATATTCACAATCAGAAAGAGAGAGTCTCTCATCACTTTATTAACGAATATTATTTGTTATCCAAAGAAGAAAAATACCAAAATATTTTTTCTAAAAAACAAAATCGAAAGAAAAGTCAAAAAATTAATATAAAAATAAATCACCAATCTTATGAAAAGGAAAAAGAAATTGAAGGAGAAAAATTATTGTTCAAACCATTAAAAAGATAGAAAGAATGTTTTACTCTTATAATATTTAATTTTATTATATAAATGAATGTTGAAAAGTATTAAATAAATGAAAATATGCCCTCAAAGGTATATTTAATACAATTCATTCAACAATTTATTAAAAGATAGTTAAAGATTATTTGATAATAACGATTTACATAATTTGATTAACTAATTTATTAAAATCTAACACCCTAAAAAGAAGTATTAAATAAACATTGTTCCTATAGAAAAAGAATAAAAGATTCAAGAAGAGGTTAACTTTTAAAAAAGAACTCAACTTCATAAAGAAAAACTTTATACTTTTATCAATAACATCTCATTGTTTTTTTTTATTTGGTTGGTTGAACAAAACAATAATAATATTTCATTGAGTTATTGATAAACAGAAATTAATTTCTTCTTGAAAAGTTTAATTCAAAAATATTTGAGGAGTTCATTTTTATTATCAATTAAAACCAGTATAATAATAAATACATAAGATTAATTCAATATTCTTTGATATAATAACTTTCAATAACACGAGAAAGATGTTGAGAGTTCTTATTACTCTGTTGTAAAACACCATAAATTTATTTTTATTTTTAATACAATTTAAGGAATTAAATAAAGAAGGAATTAGAGATGAAATTTGTATTATCTTGTTTTGGTTATTAACTTAAAAATGGAATTGTCTTCATGCAACACCAAACTGCTCTAAGTAAAATATTATTAAAAAGAGGGCCATTATTAACAGCAATATGCAATACTGTTTGTACTTTCCTTAAAGTATAGATAAAATGAAATTTATCAATTAGATTTTCAACCCTATTGATATTAATCATGAAAAGAATATTGAGATGATTGTATCTTATTGTAATGCAAAAGAATGGACAAATGAATTTATTTGGTGGTGTTATGATTACGATTTTGAATTTGGTTGTTTGTTTAAATTGTTTAGTAATTCTAATGAAATTGTTTTAAAACTAATAAAAAAATAAATTAACAAATAATAGATGATGTTCAATTTGATAATATATTTCTCAGTGTACTAAGGGTAGTATTAGAAAAAAATACTATCCAATTTACAAATGAAGTACAAAAAATTGTAATGAATTTATTGTATTCAAAGAAAAAATTTAATACACAAGTTATAATGACATATGATATTTCTACAGAAAGTTGTTGTGAAACTATATCACTTCTTACAGAATGTTTTCAAACAATTAAACAAACAATGATAGATAAAATTAATTTACTTAAACCAATTAAACCAATTATTGATTCATTATATCAATATCTTCATTCTAAATCACAAGAATCTAATATTAAATATATATTTAGAGATATTCTCTTTTTACTTATTTCATATTCATTAAAAGAACGTTGTGAATTAGGTAAAGACTTTGATTCAGATCTCAGTAGTGAAGAATGGGATAAAGTTGGATTTATTGCAGAAATTTTAATCTCATTTCATACAAATAAACAACCATTTTTAAATGTCATTGCATCTTGTCTTTATGAAGAATTATTTATTAACACTTTATATGATAGTTTTTCTGTAATGGAAAGTAAATCATTATCTCAATTATCATTTACAGAGGATGATGAAATTGAACAAAAGATTATTTCACTTCTTCAAATATATTATTGTCCAATATCAATATCATTACCTACTCAAATGAAACATGAATTAGGTAAAATAATTCATCTTCCTGAATTAATTGAAAATATATCATTTGACACAAAACAATCATATTATCAATTTGATCAAACAATAATCCTTAATACTAAAACATTATTAACACAATTGCATGAACTTGAAGAAAAAAGAAAAGAACTAACAACATTGAAATGCCAACATGAATATAAATTTGATGAATTATATATAAAAAGGAAAAACAATAAAGGTCTTAAGGCAAAACTTATTCAACTCAAACAACTTAATGGAATGCTTCCAACTAGAATTGAATCAGTCTTTACAGAATCAGTTAAAAGTGAATCTTATTCACCAACAAGAGATAGGTCTACATCAAAAACAAGTTCTAGTTCACAAAGTCAATTACGAATTCTTACAAATTGTTGTGAAGATACACATGAAATAAAACAACAACCTCAAGTAAAATCACAACAACTATTTCCAGTATTATCAAGATCTAATCCAACAACTCCAAGTCATAAAAAATCAAGAAAAAGTTCAATTGTTGATGCCTTTAAAAAATTTTCCAAGAAATAACATTTTTCATTTGTTTCATAATTTATGTTTTATATAACTATTATTTATTCTTTATGTCATTCAATGAAGAAAATATTTTTTGGAAGAATATTAATACCTGATTTGCCATTGAACGAGTTATTAATTTGTACCATAAAATAACAATGATAAGAAAATAATGATTATTTGGACTAAGTATTTGAACAAAGAACTCTATTTCCATTTCATCTCCATAAAAAAATGAAAGCCATATTATTAACCCTTTTTGTTCTCATTTGTTTTGTTTCTGCAAATGAATTATTAGAAAAAGAGTTAAAAGTTGTTAATGATAAACTTAAAGATAAGAGTCTTCAAAAAGATGAACGGAAAATGCTTGAATTTCATAAGACCGAAATTATTAAAGCTATTAACAAGAAGAATGAAGCTAAAAATATGAAAGGATCAACAAAATTAGTTCAAACACTAAAGAAAAATACAAAATCAAATAAAAAGTAAATACTGACTAAATTTATAAAGGTTATAATTCTGAATTGAACAATTTGGTTTATTTTTAAGTGAAAATAAGTGTTCTTTCATATTTTATGATATTTAAATAACAAAAAAAGAAAAAAAAAGAAAAACAAACTTTAAATCATTAAAAGTGAAATGACAATTATAGAAGATCAAATTCCTATTAAGAGAATTAAATTACCTACTGATGTTCCATTTTGGGAATCAAGTATTGCTTACAATAGAGTATTTCAAACACTTCATTTATTAAATGATAGTATTAAAAAAATGTCATTTGATTCACCAAAAATTAAAGTAACACCAGTTTGTTTTCTTTTTTTATATAATGTTATAATTGTTTAAGTAACAAATATTTATTAAATAGAAAATTGAAGTTATTCTTAAACAAATTGAACAATTAAATAAATTTATAGATGAAATTCCACCAGTAAATTTAGAAAAGAGTAGATATGGAAATATTAGTTTTAGAACATGGCACAAAAGAGTTGAAGATTATAGTGTTGAATTTCATAAAGCTATTTTACCAGAAGAATTATATCCATTCATATCTGAATTTCATGGATATTTAATGGATTCATTTGGATCACCAGTTAGAATTGATTATGGAAGTGGTCATGAACTTCATTTCTTTTGTTGGATAGTTCTTCTAGTTCAATTAAAAGTAATTAATGAAGAAGAATATCCAGCAATAATTCTTAAAGTATTTAGAAATTATTTATATCTTTGTAGAAAATTACAAAATGTATATCGTCTTGAACCAGCTGGATCACATGGTGTATGGGGAATTGATGATTATCAATTTTTACCATTTATTTTTGGATCGGCACAATTAATAAATCATCCATATCTTAAACCTGATTCAATTCTTGATAAAAGTTTAGTATCATTGTATGAACATGATAATTTCTACTTTGATTGTGTTGCATATATTTATAAAGTTAAAAATCGTGCTCCATTTTTTGAAAGTTCACCTGATTTATTTAATATTTCTGCAGCTGAAAGTTGGGAAAAAATTAATAAAGGAATGTTCATAAAATATCACGCAGAATGTCTTGACAAATATCCAATTGTTCAACACTTTTTATTTGGAAAAGTTTTACTATATGAACCATTAGTTAAAGGTTCAACACCAAAACATGAAGAAGAAGTAAAAGAAAATACACAACTAAATTGAAGGAGAAAAGAAGAAATTTAATATTTAGATTTTTGTTATTTAAAAAAGGAAAATAAAAAAAGAAAAAGAAAATAAAAAAAGAAAAACTAAAATATAGGGTTTCATCTGAATAATTAGAAGCGAACAATGGCTAGAGGACCAAGACATCACTTAAAGAGATTAAACGCACCACACCATTGGATGCTTTCTAAATTAGGAGGAACTTTTGCACCAAAACCATCACATGGACCACATGGAATGAAAGAATGTCTTCCACTTATTCTCATTTTGAGAAATAGATTAAATTATGCATTAAATGGAAGAGAAGTTACAATGATTGTTAAGAACAGAACAATCAAAATTGACGGAAAGATTAGAACTGATACCAGATATCCAGTTGGATTTATGGATGTTCTTTCTATCCCAAGAACTAAAGAAAACTTTAGATTAATGTATAACACTAAAAGAAGATTTTGTTTAGTCCCATTAACTGCTGAACAAGCCAAATTTAAATTATGCAAAATTGAAAAGAGAGTTCTTGGAACTGGTGCTATTCCATATATTGTTACTCACGATGGTAGAACTATTAGATATCCACATCCAGAACTTCAAGCTAATGATACAATCAAACTTAATCTTGAAACAGGAAAAATTGTTGATTTTGTTAAGTTTGATATTGGAAATACTGCTATGATGATTGGTGGTAATGGTATGGGTCGTGTTGGAGTTATTGTTAAAAGAGAAGTTCATCCAGGATCATTTGAAATTGTTCACATTAAAGATGCTAAAGGAAACACCTTCACTACTAGATTAAACAATGTCTTTGTTATTGGTAAAGGAACAGAAACTCTTGTTAATCTTCCACTTGATAAAGGAATTAAGAAACCATTATTACAACAAGTCAATGAAACTATTAAGAAGAACAAGATGCAAAAGGCTGGTATTCAAAAAGCATCAAAGAAATCAAAGACCACTACTGAAAAGAAAGTTACACCAAAAGCTGCTGTAGAAAAGAAAGAAGAACAAGTTGAAAAGATTTACAAGAAATATCCAAAGAAACAAGCAGCACCAAAGAAATCTAAAGGAAACAAGAAAGTTGTTCCAGGCAAGAAAATTGGTAAGAAATAAATTAACTGCTTTTTTGTTATTATTTTATTTTTGTTTTTCTTCCTTTTTGAATAAAAAAAGAAAAATAAAAAAATCATTCAATTTTTCTTTACAGATGAAAATATTGCAGTTTTTTGACCAAGTTTCACAACAGCATCATCCCATTCTTTTTCAGCAACTTGGACACAAAGATTTACTTTTTTATTTATTTCTTCATTATCGAGTCCTGAATTTTCTAATTTTTTAATACTTTCTTTTTTTAATTTTTCAACAACAGCTTTTTTCATTTGATTTGTTGTTAATTGAAGTAATGTCCTTTTCTTTTCTTGTTCTTCAATATTTTCTTTTAAATCAATATTTAAATTTACTTTAATAAATAATGGAGTTCCATTTCCAAGAAGATGTAAATCAATAACTGAACTTTTTTGAAGACTGTCATTTTCTTTGCTTGTTTTGTCTTTTTCATTTTCTTCCTCTTGACTTATTAATTTTTCTATTTCTTCTTTATCAGAAGAACTTTTTTGAAGATCTAAATTGTTTAATTCTTCTAATTTTTCTTCTTCTTGTTGAGTTGTATTATTATTTAGGTCAATATATGAATCTAAAATATTGTCAATTCCTACTTGAAATTCTTCTTTGACTTCAGAAATATCTTCATTTCCTTTTCGTCCTTGGAAAATAGATGGTTTTCCTTGATATTTTATTAAGTATTTTGTAAAATCTTCTTCTTTTTCATTAGATGTTGTTGTTGTTAATCGTTTTGTTTCTTCTGTTAATTTTTCAATATGTTTTTTATCTAATTCATCTTCAATCATTTCTTGTGTATTGTTTATTGTTCCATCACTTTTTTTCGGACTAATAATTGAACTTACATCAATCGGTTGAGTATTAAATCGTTTTAGTTCCAATTTTGACAACTCATTTTCATCAACAGTTTTATCATTAATCGTATCTTCGAGATTGTAACTTTTTAAGTTATATTTCTCTTGTTCCCATTCAGTTTGAAATACGTTATTTGGTTTTTTAGGGTGCCAATTTACAATAATATCAACCATTTTACTTTCTTGTTTTTCGTTTGGTTCTAATTCAGTGTTATTTTTTGAGTCTTTTTTGTTGGTTAATTCTTCTTTTGTTTTTATTACTGATGGATTTAATACTAATTTTGTTTTCTCTGTATTATCACTTTTATCATCACTATGTATTAAAGACTTAGATTCATTTGGTAATTCAATTGGATAATGATTAATCATTTCTTCAAATGATTTGTTTTTAGTTGTTTTATTATCTTCAGTTAAATAAGGTGTTTCTACTCTATTATACAAATTTTCTTCTTCAGCAAAATCTTGAGAAGGAATTGATGGAGCAGTTAATGTTGGATTTTGTTGACTCTCTTTTTCTTCTTGATGAGGTTGATTGTCATTAATGTCAATATAAGAGTCCAAGATATTGTCAACTCCAACTTGAAATTCTTCTTTTATTTCTTTTATATTTTCATCATTGTTACTGAAAAGAACAGGACAATAAGAGAATCGTTTTAAAGAAGTTTTAAATGTATTAGGTTCTATTTTACTTTTTGTTAATTCAAGTTGGGGATGGTTAATATCGACATCATATTCATTTTGAAGATAACTCATAGCTATATTAGTTTCAAAGTCATGAGGAGTTAATTCATTTTCAGTATTAGGTTCATTATTATTATCGTTAACCTCTTCAAGTTTATCAAAGATTGAATCTATTCTTTTTGGATCAACACTTAATTTCTTCTTTTCTATTTTTTCATTATCCCTTTTCTTATTTGGTTGTTTTATTTTATTTTCTTCATTCTTTTGATCAATATTTTCTATTAACTGTGCATAAGTATCAATAACACTGTCTACAGTTTCTTCTCGATGTTTTCTTACTGCCTCTTGTTTTTTTACTGAGAAACGACTTCTATGTTGTTCAGTCATTTGTTATTTTTTTAAGTTCATCTCTTTTCTTTTTTCTTTTTTATGAAAAACAAAATGAAAGTAAAAACATTTTTTTTTCTTTAATTTTCTATTATTTTTTTCTTCGAGTTCTTTTTATTTTCTATTTAAACTTATCCTTTATCTAATTTCTTTTCTTTTATTCTTAACAATTTCTTGAGTAATTGTTACAAAGATGCTTTACTAATTTAGTTATTCAAAAAAAGAATTCATGTTTATAAAAAATGAAAGAAATGTTATCTTTTTCTAAACTCAATTAGTACTTAGATTTAATCAAAGTATCTGAACTAGCTTTTATATAAATAGTAATTTAATATTTATCTAAGAGTTTATTCATATTATACTTATAGTTATGAAAAATTTTATAACAAAAAGTAATAACACTTTGGTTTATTGTTTATTGTGAGAAGTTATTATATAAAGTATTTTTAAATAATATTCATATTTGTTGATAATTAAATTCGTAGTATTCATTTATTGAAATAATGTTTATCAAAAAGAACAAGATAATTTGAGTTATACACTTTTCTTTTTAAACATTTTGTTAGTAGTTTTTTATATTATTGAAATAATATTTTATAAATCACGTATTATTATTTGTTCTATTCATTATTCTTGAACTATTATTCAAAATATATTTTGTATACAAATACCAAAAAAATGTAATGAATATTAATTAAAATAATAATCAATATTTCTTTTATAATAGTCTTAAATTTTTTTATAAATTGAATAGTAGAATTAACCAATTAAATAATTGGAATATTTAAATCTTCAATAGATTTGTATAACTCCTTTTTGTTTTTCATTTTCTTCAAAAATTGTTTTATTATTAAAAAGTATTTAAAGTATTATCTAAATATTGTTCATTTTTAGTATGGTTAAATTAATTGAAATAATAAATAGGACTAGATAATTTTTAATAACACAATCAAATATAATTTCACTTATTTCTTAAAAGTTATTTTTGTTCTTCTTTATTATTTCATGTTAATTTTATTTCAACACTATTATATATAATAGCCATATAAAACCAATAGTTTATACAAATAAATTTATTTAAAATTGAATAAATTATATAACTATTATAAACAATAACAATGAGATAATAATCTTTTCATTAATTATCAACACAGTTATCAAAAAATCACTCTCAATTAAACTTAAATTAAAAAATAAAATTAGATATCATAAAGATGATATCAGAATTCAGTTAGAGTATTTAATCAATATTGTTATGAGAATAAACAAGAAAAAAAACAAAAATAAAAGAAAATATAGAAATCACAATGGTGAAATAGTATGATAATAAGATATGATTATTATTAGAAAAAAAAAATAAGAATAATACTGTATTATGAATGAAAAGATGATATCAAAATCAGAGAAATGATGAAAATGAATAAGAATGGAAATTGGAAGAGATTGAATAAAGTATTAGTAAAAGGAAATGTTATAGTTTTTATTAGATTGTTTTATATTGTTTATTTATTCAAAATAACTAAAAATGATCTTAATTAATTGTTTGTTTGTTGATTATTAACATTCTTATTATTGCTATGTGTGTTGTATTTATTATTAATTTATATCATTTATATTGATACTTCTAATATTTATATTCATTCTTTCATTCTCGATATTATTACGATTGAGATAATAAGTATTATTATTCAAATATTTGTTTCATTTATTTATTATTGCCGTTTGAATTTATATTTACAATTATTTAATCAGAACCAAAAAAAAGAGAATAAATAATATATAAAAATAAAAAATCATAAAAATAAAAAATGAATAAAATAATCTGCATAAATAAAATAATGTTAAATAATTTGCATCAATAAATTAAACACTTTTTTATTTCATATTTCTAATTTCTATAATAAAAAAATGAATCCTTTATTTTATTCTTCTTTTCATCTTTTATTATCTCATTTTGAATTATTCCTTTTTATCTTCTTTCTTTTATATCCTCAACCTTACTTTTAATCTTTTCATCTTTTTCTATTTCCTAATTTCACTTTTCTTTCAATCCTTCTTTTTCATCACTTCACTTCATTTTTTCTCTTAATTCCTTTTTTCGTGACAGGAATACATTATATGATTGACAGAAGAATATATAAAAAGAATTATAGAGAACAAAATAAATAATAATATAATAATAAAGTGATCAAGTAGAAGAAAAATGATTTTTAGAAAACAGGTAAACAAATTCACAAAATAGTATAAGAATAGTACAATAAAAAGAATGTAAAAGAAATAATTTACATTGTTACAATAAAAGAATTAATAATAATAGAAATATTGGTTTATCATGAAAAATTTGGAAAAAAAGAGAATAAAAGATATAAAAAGGACCATTCATAGAAATGAATAAAATATACAGACCATATATATTAAGATACATTGTAATACTTATTACATCCATTGTTTTATTTTCAGAAACAAATAGAGTAGAATTAAAATAAATAAAAATTGAATAGATAAATTAAAACTCATAAAATAAATATTACAATTTGCAATACATTATTTAATGAAAAAAAAAACAAATATACAGAATCATCTTAAATAATGTATTAATTCATATTTAATTTAAACAAAATAAATTGAATTAATATATCGAAATAAATAAAAAATAATAATTATAGACCATATGAGAATATTTGTAAAGAATAATACTTTAAATTATAACATTAAAAAGTAAAATTGCAGATTCAACATTATAACACTAGAATTTCAATATAATTTGATATAATTAAATATCTTATTTAACTGAATAA